AACTCAATTATGCGATTATTTGTTATGTTGCAGTACAGAGTGGGCCTAATTGGACACTTTCAAAGAGAAACTCCTGTTTTCAAATCAGATACATGAAAACTGATGGCTGGGTCTGGGGCTCAAATTTTATGACAAATTCAATGGTGAAAACCACATATCGATATCTATCATAGTTTCTGAGTTACAGTCTGTTTTTCGAAAATGTTTTGAAAAGTTTTTGTAACTTTCTTTCTGTCAAAAATTTGTTCTATGAGAACATTTCGAAAACACCTTTCTACATAGAACTCAATGGTGTAAAAAACGTCAATTTTCAAATGAGATACCAATAGTTATTAATGGAAAAATATTTTTTCAAACGCACACTTTGATCAGGAAGTCAGGTAGGCTTTGGGCAATAAAACAGAAAGAAATCGTTAGTCCTTAGCTCGCACAAGTTTATCAACTTCTGAGAGTTGTCGTTCGTATGGGGGCGACAGCTGATTAACAGATTACCAGTTTTTTTTTTAAACAGTAGTAGCTATCAAATGTTCAAAAAGATTTTCACATCAGTAATTGAGACGCACAGTTTCTTTAAAACTGATAATAAATGAAACTTCAACAATAATAATAATGATAAAGAAGAAACAATGAAATATATTTCTTCAGAGGAAGTGTTTGAAATGTCTACCAGCTTCTCCTATACACAGGCGACACCTTTTCTGTACGTTTTTTGCTGAATTAATTATTTCAATAGGAGTGAGAGAAGCAAAACTTTGCATTATTGCCGCTCCCTGTTCGTAGCTAGAACTCGTCGGCAATTTGAAATTGGTGACAATTGCAGTGTTGTGAGGCAAAGCCCCATCTTGTTGGAAATATGTTTTTCTGAGCTCCATTAGTGGCAATTTATAAACAAAAAGTTTAATGATAGTAATGTGGAGTGCCATTATAAATGAACGAACCGATGATTCTACTGTGAAAACACCTGGCCACAAACTGAATCCAAATTTTTCTTGACTTCTCTGCTCCACAATAGAATGATGATTTCATTGTACTCAAGTATAAGAATTGTAGCTGTTGAAAATGCCGGAATTGCCCACATAAGATTTATCTGTCCAAATACAATCAAACGAAAAATCACGCACTTGTTCACAACTCTCCAGAAACCACTGGCAAAAATCCATGCGGCGTTCAAAATTTCCCGGTCTGAATCGATGAACTCTTCTGGTCCTGTATGGCTTCAAAAGTGACCACCATCAATTGTGTTGTGTCGGAATCTTGCAAAAATGTCTCTAATAGCCACTAATTGGAGAGCGTCTTCACTGCTTAAATCAAAATTTTACAGCTACCAGTAAAGATTTCCATTTTGTTTTATCGCCGCATCATCCAAAACCTAATTGATCAAAGTGTGCGTTTCAAAGTCTACATGAAAAAACCTAAAAGCTCTGTATTTCAAAGATNAAATATTTCTAGAAATATGTGTAGATGAAACATAGATATTTCAGTGTTACTATCTTCAATCGGGTTTGAAGGAATTTGTAGTTTGGAACTGGATCCTAACGTTTCGCCAGCACGAGTGGCTGGCTTCTTCAAAGGTTTATTCATCTTGATGATTCACCGATGACTGATGATTTGTAGTTCAATGGTTGTATTTACCTGTTAATGACGTAACATTGCATTGAGCTGTTGCCACTTCCAGCATCTTTCAGAATGGGATTCGAAATCCGGTTAAGCGTTACCGCTTCCTCTTTTCTGTTGTAGTTTTCCGTACGTTTATGGATTTCTTTGGCTTTCCGTACAAGCCGACTGTGGTATCTATGATCGGAAAGCAAGTAGTTTCACATCTTCGAATAGTATCGTGTGATCTTCTTCACTAAGCGCGTGTTCCGCTTCTGCTGATTTGTCTATTTGACCTAATCTAGAGTTTCTCCGATGCTCCTTCAGCCTTATACCTATGGATCTTTTGGAGCAACTAAACTTTTCCGCAGGTACATGATATACGTATAGATTAGGTCAAATAGACAAATCGGTAGTAGCGGAACACGCGCTTAGTGAAGGAGATCACACAATACTGTTTGAAAATGTGAAACTACTTGCCTCCGATCATAGATATCCCAGTCGGCTTGTACGGGAAGCCATAGAAATACATAAACATACATACTACAACAGAAAAGAGAAGGCGGTAACGCTCAACCGGATTTGGAATCCCATACTAAAACATGCTAAAGTGGCAATAGTTCAAACAGGTAATAACACTTCGGTCAATAGCAATAAGAGAGGCGGACTACCCGAGTCAAGATAAATACAACTAGAATACAACAGTCATCAGTGAATCATCAAGATGAATAAACATGTGAAGAATCCAGCCACTCATGCTGGCGAAATGTTAGGATGCAGTTCCAAACTACGACGGTCTTTAAACCCGAATGAAGATAGTAACACTGAAAATATCGGCCGTGTAAGCCTTATCCAATTTAGAGATATTTTAAATACAGATATTCAATTCGTTCGCTGGAAATTGGTGATGGGTATGAGTGAATTGGTTGGGATTTAAATACGTTAGATAATTGAAAAATTATTGTTCTTTTGCCATCATCAACACATGAAGATATTTGTTGAGGTTGAGTGGAAAAATAACTAACATTTATTAGCATAGGTGCAAAAACTTTGTATTCTGAAATAAACTCAATTTTGTGAATATTCCCAATGGTTTCAGTATTGAAGACGTTCATTACTATTATTTCTCATGAAAATATGCGTGAATTTAGTATTTTAAATATGATACAAGAGGGTCTTGAAATGGAAGATATACGTCTAGGAAAAAGTGACAATTAAAGAAGAATTGCCCCTTTATGCCTCCTTCCAATTCACGTCTATGTTTTAAAAGAATATAACCTTGAGGAATATGGTGGAAATTATCAACGTTGAAATAATTATTGGACGTCTTTATCAAAATACAGACGATATATTTTACAATCCCTCGAGATACAACAAAAATATTTTTAACGTATCTTGTACGTTACATTGTAACATTGTATATTGTAACCACAAAAGTGAGAGATTCTTGGCTCTTTATATTTCATATTTATGCTGTATTGCATTTGTCATGGTTAGCTCTGCAGAATGTGAATGTTTCAAAGCGTAATGAAAAATAATTGTTGTTTACAAATTTATTCCATAGTAGCTATAAAACTGTTGTTTGAAGGAGAAATCTGGGTATTTGAAAAAAAATTTTCCAAGATGATGCATCTATCAATTATCTTACTCATTTCAATAGTTTCAGTTCAAGGTGAACACGGTGTTACTGTTGGCACATTAGTGAATAAGAAGGAACAAAATGAAGATGGTTACCATTTCAAGTAAGATTTATAATTTGTAGTCTTGGATAATCCACTGTTGTTCATTTTGGAGTTCTTGATGATCTGCCTTATTCGTATGAAACTAATGGAATGGTTTAACATTCACGGAATGATAATTTCTGGAGAAACGCTCCCAAGCTTCTCATTTCTGAATTGATTTATAAATGAAGAAGAACCTGAAAAAAGTTGAGAATATCAATGAATGTTTCTAAAAATAAATATAAAACTGATATTTCATTTCAGATACAGATACTTGATTCGTTCAATAAAACTGAGAAATTGATGTTATTAGATTCGTTGGGATGCAAACCATTTTATTCGTAAAAAAACTATTGCCCTCTGGCCATCATCAGATTATGCAAAAAATTGTTAAGGTTAAGTGGACGTTTATCAGTATCTTTTATAAAAGTAGGTCTTGCAAAGCAAAGGCGTAAATTAAAAATTTCAATTACGATACCGGGCGGTTTCAAAATGAGAAAATTAACAAAAGGAAAAAGCAACAATAATAGAGGTATTTACGCCTATGTTGCAAAGGAATATGTGATGAAAATCATCGAAGGGAAACTAATACGTGTATTGGACGATTTCATTCATATACAGACGCTATTGGTTACAAACCTTTAAGTTACAACAAAGTACACCTTGAGTGTTTTTCTAAGAACAAAATACAAGCACTACAAAAAAATTCTTGAGGCGCTCTAAGAGCGGTGCCTGTGCGGAAGCAGCGATTCACATTGGATCTGAATCGCTGAAGATTGAATTCATTGCGAAAAACCTTCTTAGGAAGTTTTTTCCACGCAGTCCTTCAAATGAAAGAGTTCTACAACAGTGTACTGAGTTGAGCCTCAAAACGATGAGCAGTCACAGTCCGTCGCGTATTTCTGATATGTACCACTCTTGGTGGAATTGAATGTACTGAGTCACTTGAACATCTCCCGTGAAAGTATCTATAGAAGAGTAACAAATCTCCAACGTTTCTTCGATGTTCAAGATTATCAATGTTGCAAGTGATGTTCATGTCTCCAATAAGGCGGATGACTTTTTTCTGGATGGAATTCAGCAGCTACAGGGTATGCTTAGGAGCGGAGCTCCATATATCTGTTTTTTCCGTTAATCAGCTGCCGCCCCCATACGAACGACAACTCTCAGAAGTTGAGAAACTTGTGCGAGATAAGGACTAACGAGGTCTTACCTTTTAACGTGTGATTCCTAACACGGTGTATGAGAACAATAATCCAAAGAAGGTCTGTTCTGAGCTTCATAAAGCATCAAAAAATGCTGAGGTGTGTACATTTCTCTGGTTCGGAACTGTGTTCCAAGCTTTTGAGAAGCAGCTTTTGCAATTCCTGCAACATGACTGTGCCAAGACATATTGGTGTCCATTTTAACCCCCAACAAACTTATTGAAGCGTATAGCGAAATTGTCTCTTCTGACATCATTATATTCGTTTCGAATATATTATTTATCTCTTTGGAGAGAACCGATGCCTGGGTTTCCGTGGCATTGAATTGAACCTGGTTATTTTCACTTCATTTCGAAATTAACTTCATTAGATCCTCATTAGAGTATATGTTGGAATTCAAATGTGATGACGAGACAAGTGTTCTGTCGTTAGCAAATCAATAAGTTGGACTCCTGGTATTTTTAGATTTGTCGTTAAGATACAATAAAAAAAAGGTTGGAGACAATATGGATCTCTGGGGAATACCACCGTTGATGGTGAAAGTATTCGAGAGATTTGAATTGAAGGGGTTATATTTTTAGGAGTGATTAAATTTTTGGAAAAGAAAGTTTTTGACTTTCTACTACTCCATCTGATACAAAAAAAAGGGATGAGAGAATCTTCCAAAGAAAGGAAGGAAGTAATCAATTTGAAACTCAGGTTTCCGTGGCATTGAATTGAACCTGGTTATTTTCACTTCATTTCGGAATTAACTCTAGATCCTCATTAGAGTATGTGTTGGAATCCAAATGTAATGACGAGACAAGTGTTCTGTCGTTAGCAAATCAATAAATTGGACTCCTGGTATTTTTAGATTTGTCGTTAAGACACAATAAAAAAAAGGTTGGAGACAATATGGATATCTGGGGAATACCACCGTTGATGGTGAAAGTATTCGAGAGATATCTATCAACGGCCACTTGCAGGAAACGTTCTTATAGAAAGCTGAGAAGCCATACACAAAATGATTCGTCAATTCATAGAATCGAAGTTTGGCCAGCAAATCCTCATGCCACACACGGTCAAAGGCCACAGGAATATCAAGCGCAACAGCTCTAGACTCTCGATGCTTTTCGATTACATTATTCCAAACATGGATAACACACACTGGTCGGTCGATAGCCAGGCGATTCGACGTGGGTGCTTTATTCCTCACTCAAATTGACTGCCGTGTTGGTCGGTGGTTCAAGCCCCACTCAGAACGATCGATTTTCACTTGCTATCGTCCAACCCGTGTCAGTAATCACTCGTAGGAAGGAAAGACCTCGTTCATCCTTAGCTCGCACAAATTTCGACTTCTGAGGGTTGTCGATCGTAGGGGTGCGACAGCTGATTAAGGGAAAAACAGATATTTTTTTTAACACGATAGAAGGTTGATTGTTGATCTTTGTTTCAGAAAGTCATAATTATGATCGCTCGAAATGAAATGTTGAAGCCTTCCAAATATTTGAGGAAATGATGGTTTACGGCTCTCTACATGTGTTTTGATATCACTGATAGCGAAGCGAGTTCATTGGCGCACTTTTTAATTACGATGGCGAACACTTCCGATCCAGACGCCTCGTTGATATTGAGCTACTGCAAAATTCACCTGACTAGTCGTGACTGAATGTCAGCATAATAAAAAAATTTTAGTATGGACAAGTTGAGAACTCTTCGTAGGCATTTCAGTTGGTATATTTTGCTGTTTAGTTTGGACAATGTTTCTCCCATTTTAGATTCTATGTTTTTAATCTTTTTTTGTCTAGAATGGAATATTGAAAAATTTGTTTTACCAGAATTGGTAAGCAAATGACTGGCTTGGCTGTTGTAACAATTGAATCATCCGCTTGTGTAAGTGGTAGAATTATGGATTTTGTAAAATTTTGTTGCGAGCATTAACAAACCTAGTTCGGTTGTCGGTACCGGGATTTTTGCGCCACTGTCGGTAGGCGACTGTGAGACGTTCTTCGCTGTTATTATTATTTATGTATGCTGTTTTGCAGCATTCATCATGGTTATCTCTGCAGAATGTGATTGTTTAAATGCATAATTCATTTCATAGTAGCTATACATCTGTTATTTGGAGAAAAACTTTAGACCAAACTTTAGACTGATTTTATGAACCTACTGTTCTGCAGAAGATTACAAACCGCTTTCACTTATAATTTTCATGAAAGAATTGTATTTGGGAAGTGGTGTTATCAGATTAAAAGTAACTGCCAATTCATTGAAGTTATCCCAACAAAAATAATATTCATTTTCACTAGATTCTCAACAAGCGACGGACAAAATAGAGAAGAAACAGGTGTCCTGTCAAAATTGGGAGATAATCTGATATTGAGAGTAGTAGGCTTTTACTCATATAAAGGAGATGATGGTAATTCGTACCAAGTGACCTATCGTGCTGACGACACTGGTTTCACAGCAACAGGTGACCATTTACCAACATTGAAAACATATTATCCAAAGATAACATCGTCAACAACCGAATTTCCTCAAGAAATAGAGAATCCCATTCTGTTGCGTTCTGACTTCTTACCAAGAACTCGAATAGCATCATCAGCGATTGCATCACTAGCAGGAGGAGGTTTAGGATGAAGAATGGCTGATTTCTTGATACAATATGAGTGATGATTTACTGTCAAATCATTTACGTTTATTTTAAAAGAGTAGGGCGTAATTCAATTATGGCAGAGTGGTCTAAACTTGAATAGAAAACAACTCTATGAGCAATAACTATGCAATTTTTCCAAACTTTTTTATACATTTCAAATCTATCTGTTCAGTTGGCTGGAGTCATTATTGAATGTCAGCTTATGTTTTGAAATTTCAGCGATTCCAACATTATTCAAAGCACAAATTATTTATAAATTGATTAACATTTTCGAAATGGAATTACCAGATAAATATTTTTTAATTGTCCTCGTGAAGTGAATTTTTCATTTTTTTTTCGTTTAAGTTTCGTTTATATTCGATTGATTTCTAGATTATTTTCGAAATCATTATCTTTTCTACAGTTATTACAGAACACAACAGATTTTGAATGAAAAATCGAAAAAAAAAGAATAATTGCAGTTTAATTCAGATTTCATATTTGCACAGTTTTGGAGGAGACAATAAATCATATAGAACTGCCTCAGGAACATATGCGAGGATGACTATTTTCCATAATCTCAACGACAACAATTGACGTATTCAAAAAACACTTCATTTTGAGATTTTCACTTGAAAGTTTACAAAACCGCGACACGTGTTCGCTATACGATAGCATCTTCGGACGTCAGAGTATTGAGTGTTTTGAAAACTTACAAGTGGAATTTGGGTTATTGAACTATTGTATGGATATTTTTTATCGAGAGAACTGTTTTTGTAATATTTTTCCTTTTGTGATCTCTTGCATTATCAAAAATTATACATTATTATAAGAAAATTAGAAAAGTAATGCGTTCATCATGAATACGTACTATTATTGGTTTTTTGTGTGACATTGAACTGATGACAGATAACATGTAACTGAAATTAGTGAAAAATCAATTCATTATTTATTTTTTTCATCACAGTGTCATTTATTGAACAGTTTCTAGTTATTTATTTTCACAGTTTCTTCTCGAACACCTCAAAAAATTTGCTGTTCTGTCGACATACATACGAATAAAATTAAATGTAAATCAAATAAAATAAATAAAATTGAGTATTTGATACAAATCAGCGAGAAGGCCACTATTGCATCTGTTTATTCAAATACTCAATAATGCATACCTATAACATGCAGTATGAGCTAGTTGGGTCATAATTTCATTTTTTTATTCATAATTCCGCATAACGTATACAAGATGTTCATCACAATAATATTGAAAGTATATGTTCTTTTCAGTTTCCATATTGCTCCTATATAATAAAATTCCAGGAGATATGGAAGGATATGATATGATACGGAAGGATATGAAATGTAACAAGTTTTTTGACTCGTCTGTAAACATTCTATTCTGGAGTGTCTTGAGAAAAAAAAACAAAAATGTGTGGAATGTGTTCTGTGAATTTTGATTATCTCAAAAACAAGGTAGGTAGGTGGATCCAAAGTGATAAAATCATTTCGACCTCTACTGATATCCGCGACAGTTTATTGAGGATTACACCTGTTCAAACTGGACCAAATAAATCCAACTTCTTGACGAAACCGATGACTTTATTTGGTGAGTGATCCTTCAGGCAACTGGCATAAGTGAAACTCTGCCTAATACTGAAAATGTAATTTGGTATAATTCTGATCTCTTCCATATTGATTTCAATTTAAAAGCCACCGGTATACAGCTGTTTCAGCCTATTGGGCAAGGTCAGTACAGGGCAGGCGGTCCTCGATTGAAGACAAAATGAGAAAAACCAAGAAAGTACTTGATAAACATAGTTGCGTAAACGCAAGCGAAACATGAGTGGAACCACCTATTGGTGTGACACACAAGTCAACTTGCCAACATTCAGGAAAAAACGGTTTGTCTATTTGTTTGCCTTACATTTTATGAACTTGAAATTAAAATACTACAAACAAAATTTCTGAAATGATATAATTGAAGAGAAATAAATGTGTTTTCGATTTTTCTTGGTGTAGAACAACAAACAATCATCTAGAGAATGACGTCCTATTGAAGTGCCGAAATTGTTTTATTCAGAACCAGTTTGAACGCAGAGTGGACGTCTTAAAGACGTAGTGATTTTAAACATTGTAGTCTTACAGAGTTTTTCGGGACTTGATGGAATGTCTTGAGACGATTCGAACTTCAGCTGGCGACTTCAAGAATCTCCAAAATATTTCATTGTCATTTGGTAATTCATTACCTGTAATTCAATTATTACAACTTGTCAGTTAGTGTTGTTAGTAACCATCTCAATATATGATGAAGAATGCATTTACGTATTGCATCATTTGAATTGACCTCACACTCTGAGTATTTACCGATTCTCGATATTTAGTTTCAGTCATTTCCGGAGGTGATTGTAGGAAGGTGCAACGGAAATATTCGAGAAATTGTATAATTATTTTCAGCTACCAATTGATGAAAAGATTAATACGTACTTTCTTGAATTCTGAATAACAGAACACGTTGATGTCACGACCTATGTAAATCAAATAGAGAATGCGGAACTCTTCGAATTATATGATGTCGTAGGTCTGAAAAGGTGGGCGGCATTCTTGAGTAGTTTATTGGGAAATACCAGCGCGGCGTCCACCAAAGTTCGAAATAATTCATAGATTCAGTAAAATTATGTATTTCTGATATAACATATTCCACGGAGGAAGTGTTTTTGAATTTGGTTGAAAACTTTCATCTACTGTTCAGTTTTTTGACATTACTTTTTAACACTTGTTCTAAAATGGTGAAATGCTAGATCTTACAACCAACTCTATCATTATATTTATCAGTTTTCTGGATTGTTCGTAAATTTTAAGTGAATTTTTCAACGTTTTGCCACTACGAATAATTGACATCTTCAAGAATACAAGGACAAATTTTTGGAAAACTGATTCATGATGATAATCCTGAAAAACCTCATTTCGAACAGTCTCATCTCTTCGCATAAATTTGCTTTTTGCAGAAAGAGATCAGCTGAAGCGAATCTGTTTTCCCACACTATTTGAAGATTGGAATTTGTGGACTCAAAAAGTTACGAATATATTTTGCAAATGGTTTTGACAAAGTGAACCTCTATGTACTGTTGATCAAATAGAAATTAAAGGGACATCTGATTCCATTTTTCATATTATATCTTGAGTTGAGGCCTTGGGACATAATGCACAGTGATGAAGGATCTCATAATCACCTGATAGAATATGGTCTCCCAATCAAAGTATCAACTCGCTGTCTTTTTTATACAGACAACACAAAATATTCAATAAAATCTCAGACATAATCTTTCTGAGTATGAGTTCGTTTTTCAACTAGAGAAAAATAAATACCCCTAATTTCGTGTGGCCAATGCTATGTTGAGTTTAAGGAAGGGTTGAGGAAATATACAATTAAGGTGTCCTTTCTCAGGAAGATTTTTATTTTGATTGCCATTTATTTTCCAGAAGTTAGAATGTAATGAACTATTGAGTTATTCGGAATTAAAACTCACTAATACAGTATACTGTGATACTCTCACTATGAATAATGAATCAACATGCTTCATTCCGTTAACTCACATTCAACTGTATCAACAAGTTCCAATAATAGGGGAGCCCAAGCGGGGATTTCGGGATTTACTGAAGCGCGGCAGATTGATATACAGGGGGATACCTTGTACCCGGTTAAGTACCTCCACCAAATATGAGCCCCATATATAAGGCCGCCTGTGAGGGATGAAGGATCAGATTAGTAAAAAAAATTGATCATCAGAAATTTATGAGCGCGTCAGCGCAATAAGCCCAAAAGGCTGCCGTGTTTTCTGGAGACTTGGACTGAATGGACAAGTCAGACAGTTCCCAAAGTACAAAAAAAAAGGTAGGGTGAGTTAATTACCTGCTAAAAAGTGTATATTCCAGTAATCTGATAATTTGAGAATAATGGCCGCGAGTTTGCGTCAGATCGAAATCGTCAGATTATTGAATGAGAGCTTTTTTTTGTTGCACTCAACACCCCCTTAGAAAATCTGACGCGTTCGATTAATTTTTTTTCTTTTCACTTTTAACCCTTACGTACAATCACCCACATCATGCAAACGATCAGAATAACATACCAACATTATTAAAAATACGTAGGACATTGATGCTATCAATATCTGACGCGCTCGTGTATGTCCATGCAAGAATATTTTTTTACATATTCAAAAATCTATAGCCACTTCCCCCACGAAAAGGTATATACTATATAACATTTTTTTCTTCTTATCATCTAAGCTTTGCAACCTAATATGTCTCAATGACTCTCGAGTAAATCCCCATTATGCATCGTGGGCTCCCCTGCTACAATATGTATTATCATCAAGTACCGGTTAGTACCATTCAATTTTTGAAATTTTCCACCTGTCACTTCCACAATTCAAAAATTATTCATTATTTATTCAATTCGCTTGTTATAATAGCTTGTTCTATGTGATATTATGCAACACCCCTCAAAACGAAATGCTGAAACCACACAGAGTAAATTTCGTGCGATGAACTCCATCAGTTCAAAACAGGTTCAGGACAATGAAAATTTTTTACACAAATGAATCAAAAAATACTTTTTTCAACAAAACATCTAATAGGGTGTTCAGTGTTCAATGTTTCAATATAGCAAACAAGCAATTCCATTTATTTCGTGAAGTACAATAATTATATGACATGGTTATCTCCAGAAGACTGTGACATATCATATAATGGTCGATAGAAAACTTTCCAAAGACAATAAATATAGTTTGAAAAACTTAAAATACCCTTTTAAAGAACATATTTTTTCAGTTTTTGAACTATATTCATTTTTAAGTTTTCAGTTTCGTATACTATAAAAACGTGTTTTTCAGTCTATCCAAACTATGTTTATTTTATGTAAACTTTGGGATCAATCAGCCGTATATTGTTTAGAAAAATGACTATTGATATTTTCCGATTCCGGAGAGGTAGTCTCAAAATCAGCTTCCAAGCCCAAGGCAGCAGGTACGCAAAGGAGGGTTACAAATAAGGCAGCAGGTGCGCGTGTTTAAAAAAAAATACTTTTTTCATATGAAGAAATGCATGTGAAGTGAGTTCAAATTATATCAAGGAGGTTACGTATAGCGCCATCTGCCCACGAATAGATCAAGCAATAATGTCGACATATCAAGAATGTTACGTACAGCGCCATCTGCCCCGATACATACATACATACAGGTGAAGCTAATATAAAGCGTGTAAAAAAATGAAGAAAATATTATTGAAAATCTGTTACCTGCAATCTAGAGC